ATACATATAGTGAAAACTTGAAAAATCTTCTGGTCTGAAAGTAAATGGCCTAGAGCTTTGATTTTTGGTATATGGTATCATCTATGGGTCCTCTACCAAAGTTGTTCAAATGTTGTCCCTAGTGGCAAAATTGGCCCCGCCCCGGGGGGGTCATAGGTTTTTTCCTTATATGTATATAGTATATAGTAAAATCTAAAAAAATCTTCTTCTCTGATTTGGCAAAGGCTACAGATTAGATATTTGGCATGAAACATTGTGTAGTAGACCTCTATCAAGATTGTTGAAATAATGGCCCTAGGGTCAAAATTGGCCCCGCTCCGGGGGGGTCATTGATTTTCATTACATACATATAGTGAAAACTTGAAAAATCTTCTGGTCTGAAAGTAAATGGCCTAGAGCTTTGATATTTGGTCTATGGTATCATCTGAAGGTCCAATACCAAAGTTGTACAAATTTTGTCCCTAGTGTCAAAATTGGCCCCGCCCCGGGGGTCATAGGTTTTTCTAATATGTATATAGTAAAACATTAAAAAATCTTCTTCTCTGAATTGGCAAAGGCTACAGGTAAGATATTTGGCATGAAACATTGTGTGGTAGACCTCTACCAAGATTGTTCAAATAATGGCCCTCGGGTCAAAATTGGCCCCGCCCTCGGGGGTCATTGATTTTCATTATATACATATAGTGAAAACTTGAAAAATCTTCTGGTCTGAAAGTAAATGGCCTAGAGCTTTGATATTTGGTCTATGGTATCATCTATAGGTCCAAAACCAAAGTTGTTCAAATTTTGTTCCTAGAATTAAAATCTGGCCCGCCCTGGGGGTCATTGATTTTCCCTATATGTATATAGTAAAAACTTAAAAAAATTTCTTTTAAAGAACCCAAAGAGCTAGAGCTAAGATATTTAGCATGAAACATCTTCTAATGGGTGTCTATCAAGTTTGTTCAAATAAAAGCCCTGGGGTCAAAATTAGCCCCGCCCCAGGGGGTCATTGATTTTCCCTTTATGCATATAGTAAAAACTTAAAAAATTTTCTTTTAAAGAATGCAAAGAGCTAGAGCTAAGATATTTAGCATGAAACATGTTCTAATGGATGTCTACCATGTTCGTTCAAATAAGAGCCCTGGGGTCAAAATTGGCCCCGTCCCGGGGGTCATTCATTAGCTCTACTTTTTTTTTTAAAATATATACATATTACATATATACATACATATATATATATATATATGTATATATATATATACATATGTAATTTATATATATATATATATTATATATATACAATATACATACATACATACATATATGTATTGCATTTTTTGGTGTGTGTGTATATATGAAATATATACACACACACACTTACATATATATATATATATACATAAAAAATCTTCTTTTAAAAAACCCAATAAGCTAGACCTTAGATGTTTAGCATGAAATATCTTCTAATGGGTGTCAACCAAGTTTGTTCAAATAAAAGCCCTTGGGTTTAAACTGGCTCGCTCCGGGGGCCTATATACAGGTGAGCGACTTTGGGCCATCATGGCCCTCTTGTTGCTTAATATTTCTGTTTGATTATGAGTATTAGTACATGACTTGTTTTATATTTCTTTAACCTATGACCTGCTATCAGCATCTGAATATCTCCATGTGACCAATGCAGACCAAGATTAATAGTAAACATATATGAGCCGCGCAATGACAAAACCAACATGATGGGTTTGTGACCAGCATGGATCCAGACTAGCCTGCGCATCCACGCAGTCTGATCAGGATCCATGCTGTTCACTATCAGTTTCTCTACTTCTTATTAATTATGTAAGGCCAAAAAAAAAAAATTGTTTGTTTAGGGTAACCTTCCCAAAATTGCTAGGTAGGGTAGGTAGGGATTTTTTTTTATTTTTTTTATTTTTTTTTTTCAAAATCTGTCGTAAGTTCAGAGTGTTTTCTTGCACATGGCAGTCTTTCCTACACTACTGACATTGCCTGACTTTGTATTATCATATTTTATCATATAAACAATAATTCTGATTAAAATCTGCATAGCTTTAATGCGATTTAATGTTATTTCAATATTGAATAAAGACAATATACCCAAACGTGTTAATTTTGATGTTTGTTTGCTACAGGCACAGTGCCACTACTTTAAGTTTGACTCAAATCTGAACAGCAAACAGTGCAGATTCTCATCAGCTTGCATGGTTTCAATTCTGCTGATCTGAGTATACATTGGTTGCATGGTAGGAGTTAAGCACAATAAAAGAGCTAAAATGACATGCTGTGATCTGGCTTTCAAAGTTTTAGTTAAAAAATCTAGACTTGTTTTTCACTATTTGATATTCGTGCATTAAATACTGCACATTTCATTGAATTAACAATTGTAGAGCTGACATCTTGAAGCTCTTACAGTATAACAAAGTTTATATTTTGACACTATGGTACAATTTAACAAAATCTATAATTTTGAATTGCACTTTTGATACACTGGTTAACATAAAAAGTGCAAACACTTCTATTTGTAAAATGACACCCTTGTCAATCAAATACTGTTTATTTTCTATCAGATACATGTATGTCAACATATCAAAGACAATAGCCAAGCTTTTTGTTGAATTGGCATTTTGTAGATGTCATTCAAAGTGTCGTCTAATAGTATCCATGGCCCATCTGAAAAAAATCAAAGACTAGATCTCAATAACACATGGAAAATGGGACGGTATGAAACAAAATGATGCACAGTACAGAGTCAGACTCCAAGTCTGGCTAAAAATTTGTTTCAGTATGCAAAAGAGGATGAAAAATATACTGGAAAAGCTTTGCAGGTCTCCAGAATATCTATGTACATATGACCTGTGGCTATACTTTATACTCGAGTGCACTTGATTTTCAGTGGGACTAGGGTCTCATTTGCCTCTAACTACTGTCTGAACTTGAACTGGTTTAATAAATTGTAACACTTTCAATTTTCCAATCAAGCTGAAATGTGTAACTTCAGTGTTCTTTTTCACCCTTTTCATTTTAATGTTACTGTTTTAATATTCATTTTGAAGTGTGGCACAGGACATATCAAAACAGCTTTTCAAATTTTTGAATATTAAAAGCAATAAAAAATAGTGGCATTGATTTTACCTAAAATGTGTTAAACCTTGTTATTTATGCAATAAAATATCAATATAGATCTACTAAAAAAAAAATTTACACTGACAACATCCGAGTACGAAAATTATGGGTATGTTGTTCTTGGTGTCAAAATTTTCCACTGGCAGGTAGTATCGTCGGGTTTTCGCATGAAATCAATGCAATATATATTTTTCTTTCAAAACTGTCTATGAACAGATCCTTATTTTCACGTTAATTAAAACAGTAAAGCCAGAAAGTCAAATATCACCCAGGTCCGAAAGAGGAGACCGTCATGACATGTACATTGTAGCCTGGTATTTACGCATGAAATACTACATCAACAAAGAGATCAAACGGGTCGAACACACATGCAAACAACTGGATTTTACATACTTTCAAATGGTTTTATTCTCCACGAGTGACACTAAGTCCTGTGTGCCTGTATTCTAAGATAAATTCTACATGTAGAAATTCCTAAATCGGAAGTGTTCTCTCGCAACACGTGCGTGGTTCCCCGTTCCGCTCTATGTCAATGTATGTAAAACGGAACCGGAGAATACTTCCGGTAGGAATTCCCTTCTAAAAATATCGTCTACATGTAGAATTTTTGTTTCCGATAGCGTGATATTCATTGGACCACAATACAGCACGAGCCAATCAAAACACGTTTAACTAAAAATGACCAATCTAAATCGTCTGAGAGTTTTATGAGAGCGTCTAAAGCTTTCAATTCTCATTTATCCTCCCTTTGGCTAACGAATTTTTTTTTGTCCAGAAACGGAAAAAAATAGTTAGGGTCGGCGCATTTTTATAGGTAGGGTCGGGTTACCCGAAACAGACATAATTTTTTTTTAGGCCTAAGTAAACAGCATGGATCCTGATCAGACTGCGCAGATGCGCAGGCTGGTCTTGATCCATGCTGGTTGCAAACGCATAATGTTGGTTTTCAGTCTTGATGCGGCTCATATGTGATGTCAGATCATGATCTGCACTGTTCCCTATTCATTAAATACATACTTAATGAAAAAAACCCTATAAATCATGAATGGTTTTGTCCAGATTGTTTAAAGATGGACAAGTTTCTTTAAGATATTTAAGCATTAAAGTAAAGAGTAAAATATTTTTGATTCAACGATGTCAGTGTTTTAAGAATTTATTATACTATGTAAATAAGAGAACACTTTAGTTATTTTTCCTTGTGTGGTCTATAAGATAGTTTAAAAATTGGAATGGTGAGCATGACTCATTTGATTACATACTGGACAGTTTTACTGTATATATATTAGAAAAAGGTAATGGTGGCAATTTAACTTTATTTAAAAGGGCAAAATACTTACACCATATATTATATGTTTTTATTTAAGACTTAAAATGTTTTGCATTAAAAACAATTTTGGTGTTTCTCTTGATTTGTGCAATCATTTTCCAAAAAAAAAAAAATAACATAATCATCTATGATACACACAAGTTAGTAAAATAAAATTTGCAACAATTTTGATAGACAGAAACTTAAAATGAATTTCATGCCAAACCTAGAAATAAACATTTCCAGTCTGGTCATGTCAGAAAATCTCAGAGGAGTCCCTTTAAGTGGCAAAAATTCTATGGAATTCAATTTTTGTGAACACTTGTAAGTTTGTATGAAAACTGTTTATATATGGCTGATATGTATAATATTATTTTATGCCATATAAGAAAAAATTGTTGTATGCATTGTACATGGAATATTTTCAACATCAGGGTTGACATTAAAAGTTTTCTAAGAATGACCATTTTAACTTCAGGAAGTCCATTTGGTTTTATCACATACAAGAAAGAATGTTTCCTAAAATTGGCTTGAATTATTTTATATATTGAGGTGTTTTCTTTGTTTATTTCAGGGTGACTTAGCAAAAAAGAAAATCTACCCAGTATTATGGTAAGTTTAATTTTGTTTACATACTGTAACATGACACTGTAGTGACTGTAGATCTGTGTAGGTGGAAATCCGGTTGTGAAATATTTGTTCATCTGATGATTGTATGAAATCTTTAAAATTTAAATCTTAAATTCTATTCTCAAAGTTGTACAAGTCACTCTTTAAACAGTACATGACAGTGAATATAGAGATTTAGAGTACTTGATGTATTGTTTCCTCAATTTACTCCTCTGATGGTAAAGAGCCTGGCAGAATTATTTTAAAACAAAGTTGTACATCCCTCTGTGACAGTCTTCACCTTGCACTATGCCAAGAATGTATTTAAGAGTGTGTCTTTAACCCTTAACCAGCTGAGTTTTTTTAATGGACTTTTCTGTCTTCCAATTCTGGAACTATCCTTTGTCAGTTTATCAAATTTAGGGATGTCAAGATGAAAATTTGAAGTTGGTTAGGTAATAGTAGAGAGCTGCATAGATGTACAGGCTGCTCAGGCTATAAATACTGCTGACAAACTGGCTAATCACTTTTGACCACAGCAGGTCAATGTTTAAGCTTATACTAAAATAAATTTAGATCATCGTAATGAACAAAACTAGTAGACTTTAAAAAATATATTCAACCTAGTATGAGGTGGTGAAGTGTGGTTTCTCTTAGTCCTCCTCTACCTTTAGTTTGAAATAAATTCTATATAAACCGACTGATATCTCAAATGAGAACATGAATGTAATCACATAGTAATAATTACCGTATATGTACATAGATTTGTACAACTGTCATTAACATGCTAATTATTATATTATTATATCTCATTAGTAATAAAATTTACAGTTATTGTGTTTGCTTTGATCATGTGTGGAATGTGAGACAGTCTACATGTACAGTATAGCAAGATATATGTTTTTATGATGTTTACATTTTTGTACTACATGTACATCATGTTGTATCGACATATCCTGTTATATCCTGTAATGTAATGATTAAGATAATACCAGGATATCTAAAAATATGGAAGATAAAAAAAATGCAAACACTCTGTTCCTCAATGTGAGTGTGCATAATTTAAGTATGCAAAAGATAAAATATTAATTCTTTCTCGGAGAGGGATGGCCTAATAATTTAAGTGGTTCCGATGTGTACCTCTCAATCCAGAGGTCATGGGTTCAAGCCTTCCAGAAGTCAATCACAGTCATGTTTCCTCATAGAACATCAGTACTTGTTAGTTGCCGGACGTGGACTTTAAAGTTGTTCAAATAAGTGTGAAGTTTAAATAGCAATTGATTTAAAATAAACATTTTTTACTTAGAGAATGGATGGGTCACAGGAATTTAGATTTTACTTTTTCAAAAAGAAAAAGAGAGGTAACTGAAGCTTATAGTGTATCCTGGATGGTGTTGTCATTTGACACCATTTGATACAAAAACAAGAAAAGCATTGATGCAAAGCATCAAAGGGCGACGCCAAAAGAATTTGATCCAGATTTGCACCTAAATACTTAACAAAAGATGTGTACTTTATAGCAGTACCATTACATGTGACCTGGAGGCTAGGGCCAGTTTAAGTTGAAACTTAAACCAAAAAAGAATAGACTCTGTCTTGCCAAGATGCAAAGACAATTTATAGTCAATTAAGCAATCTTATAAGACTCATGCTATAAAATTTATAGTCAATTAAGCAATCTTATAAGACTCATGCTATAAGAAAGAATTTCTTCAGATTTATTTTATGAGACACAAGGATTCCTGAGTCATCAGCATATAATCACAGGCACGAGTATGGACCTGGGAAGAAAAAAATATGACCAGATGACCAGATTGATAAAAAAACTGTGTTTATAAAAACCAAAAAAAAAAAAATGTAAATAATGATCCCCTTTAAAAATATACTCTCAACTTGAAGTATATTTTTAAAGGGGGTCATTATTTACATTTTATTTTGGTTGTTGACACTTTTAAGATGAACACAGGTTTTTTTATCAATCTGGCCATATTTTTTCTTCCAAGGTCTGATACTCGTGCCTGTGCATTATAATAAAAGCTTATTGCTTAGGGTTGAAGACATGTAATTGACATATATTAGACATAAAAGAGGACCTAAAATGAACATCAGGGGGACAGCATAGATACTCAGAGCAGAAGTAGAATGAGTACCAGCCACATCAACCAGCTACTGTCAGAGATAAGACTTAAACCATGTAAGAATGTCATTATATATGGCAGATGCTTGAAGTTTCATGAAGAAGAAGAAAAACAACTTCTTCATGTGCAGTATAGTGTGTTCAACTGTATCAGATGCCCTTTTGTAGATCTAAAAGTATCATGCAATACTGCCTTTGTCCATTTCAAATAATGCAATCTGTTAAAATGAATCAAACATTTGTCATTTGAAAAACCACTTCTAAACCCTGACTGAAACTGCCTGACCATGACTCGAACCCATGACTTTCAGAAGACCAACTGAGCTATCCGGCCTGCTACACATTTTCTCTTTAATAATGAAACAGTTCTAAACCACAACATATTTCCCCACTATATCGATTTGTGTTCGTGAATTTCTTATGTTACAGAGCATAGGAAATTGAACTCATGCTTATATGCAGTCACAGGATGAGAAAAACTTTGAGCTTGACCAGAACTCAAACCTGTGACCAACATAAGAAATTTTATGAAGGCTGATTTGTATTTTGCATCAAGGGCACCGGGCAAAAACATGAAAAATGCAACAAACAAACCACTTTGTGGTAGATTGTATTTTCATGTTTTCATCTGGCGCCTAGTTACTTTTTGTACTATGTTGGTTTTCATGTGGCACAAATCACCCACTATAAATTTAGTGCACAAATTTTATTCAAGGGCAAGTAACAATCTACTCTATGTACAGTCTGTTGTCGGGTTGACTCAGGAGACCTGGAGGTTGAGACCGGTGTCCCTTCATTACAAATAGATAAGACAGAAGCTGTCCTTTTCAAACTATGCACATGTTAGAAAAAAAATAGAATAACTATTCAGAATATGATTTTTTTGAGACTTTATTAATTATATTGCTTGATCCAAGTTTAAGGACATTTTCAATCAATACATGTTTTATCATTTATAACTTTAAATGAAAGTCTTATCCCTTTAATAATAATGACATAACTGTATCTCTTTAAATGCAGAAAAATTATAAGTCTCAACATATCAATATACTACTGTCTAAGATATACATGTATGCACATAACATTAATAATTCCCAGTTTATATTAAATAAATATGAAAATCCTAACATTAACATTAACATGCTTTTGATGACCTTACAACTGTGTGAATTATATACAACAAAAATAGTATTATAAGTAATACTAAGATAGACAGAAAAGAACAAATAATTTAGTAAACATGAGTTACTTCCCCTTAAAATAAAGAAAACCTGAAACCCAAAAAGAACACCCTAAACAGCAAAATTATGAAATGCTGCAGGTTCAGTTTTATCAAGCCATGCAAATTAATGGTAAAGTATTCATAAAAAAAATAGATGGCCATGTGTCAGCAGTAATTGCAGAAAAATCGGATAGCTTTCAACATCCGGATACTGGTACACTTTGTAAAAAACAACCATTCTGCGCAACAGATAAATGTAATAAGGATAAAATCAATAGGATAATCGTTTACAACAGTTCCATTACCTATCCTTATACTCAATTGCAGGTGAACTTTCTTCTTGTAGGAAAATTTTGAAAATGTATAAATGAATGAATGAACTGATACGGCCTCAATCTAGACCACAACGATATTCGAAATCCGGGTTTTAGTATTGTCATTAAAACTAAGGGACAAGCTGTTAAACCTAACCTGCAATTTCGTGAAAATAATATCACAATGCACATGCTTTTTACATAAAGTTATTAAATACAAATATAACAACACATTTGTTTACTTGATTTTTAGGAATCAAAATAAAACTAATTAACACAACATGAAATTAACTGCTAATAATAACAGCTCCTTCCATAGGCAAAAATAAAAAGCATTCCATAATAGACGACGCCGCTCACCGGCGTCGCCAATAAAAAACCTCCACTGATCATGATTGTTATGTGTTTGATTATCTCCCTTGATTACTTACAATAGAACTTCTAAAAACTTGTCTTTGTAAGTTTAAAATGGTTGCCATTTCAATTCCCACTAAGAGCCATTTTTTTTTCTGGGGCATTTGAATTTTTCACATAAAAAGTATTAATATTTGTGATGATATTGAGTTTATAATATAAGTGGTTAAACCCCTCAACTGTTTAATTAACATAATGGACTTTGAAAAAAAAAAAACAAAAAAAAAGACAGTACTGGGTGAAAACTTGATATTACCACTTCAGTATTTTTCAAAGAATAAAACCTGTACATATACCTCAATTTACATGCAATCTTCCTTTGAATTTTTTTCTATTCTTTATGCTTGCAAATTGAAAACAGAATCAGGTGATGATTAAATCAGTTTTCTCTAAGAACCAACTTAATTTGATTATTTAGAGAGAAAAGTCAATAATTTGAATCAGTCTTTATGGTTTAATTAATGATTTTGATATTTGCTTTGTTGAAGTATTCTTATTTTCAGGAAATTATTCCTGTTCTGGCTTAGATTACAGCCGCTGTAAATAAATGCTGATTCTAGATAAGTGCATTTTAAATAACTTATTGATCCAACCTAGCAGGAAAATACTTAATATCCTTTCAACGACTTTTCAAAATCATAAAGTAATAAAACATAATCGCCGAGATGGCACATTTTAGCTTCCATCAATTCCACATATATCTCTGGAATTTACATGTTGCCTTTAAATTGAAACATATAAATGTCATAATACTGGGTGTTATGTATTGAGGTCAATAATGAACTTTTTACACAACTATGTCCATTTAAAAACAAAAACTGGGAGATTTCAACAAAATAGAAAATTTGATAACTACCACAAACACAATGATGTTTTTGAGTACATGTGCGTCACATGACTTCTTCTGTAAAAATGATAATGTTTTTTCCAAAAAAGTTAGATATTTAAGATAGGGAACATGGACAAATTCATACAATGCACAGGACATTATCTACTGGATCAGTTCAGTTGTGTTTGTTTAGTGTGTGGGGTCCAAATTTCTTGATTAATGATGCCACAAAAAAGTATTGCATTGAAAATTCATAGGATAGTTAGCAATGTCACATTTTGATATCCAAAAGTATTAAAAATTATTTACAACTTGATGAAATCACAGCTATTTTAACATTTAATAATTCAAAAAATGTTTTGTTTTTATGAAATAATGAAAAAAAGTTGTTTATTAATTGACTTTCACACATTGAGTCATTATAATGCTTCCTTTTTTCACAATTTTAGTGAAAATAATGCTAAAACATCACAATTTCAAGAAAAATCAAACTTTATCTCTCACAAATCAAAAAGGCCCAGGCCCAGTTTTATGATTTCAGTAAAAAAGAAATGCTCTGACAAATTTATAATAAAAAGATTTTCATAATTCAGGGAGCTATATAAAGATGAACTATTGCCAACACACACCTACATTATAGGGTATGCAAGAAGTAACTTAACCCTAGACCAGCTTCAAGAACGATGGGCCCCTTATCTAAAGGTAATATTTCTTTGTTAAACTTTTATAAATACATAATATTTTATTTTTCTGTGTGGGTTTTGATTGGCTGAGATATTGTCCATGAAGCACTCAAGATCAACTAGCTGACTGAAGGCTGGTGGTTCAAGTCAGAAACTTATTACTTTTCATTTAGTGATGAAATGGGTTCTTCTGAATACAAGCCTGTCTGGTTAACTCTTAACTGTTGAGCCACGCCACGACAAAACCAACATAAACCAACCAGACTGCGTGGATGCGCAGGCTGGTCTGGATTCATGCTGGTCGCAAACCCACTATGGTGGTTTTGATGTGACGCGTCTCAATTTATTTATCAACATCCAGCCTGTCACTGACATATTACTTAATAACCTCAGCAATAAGCATTGATTTTAAATTGATTATAAATTCTGTATCAATAATTAAGTTATACATGGCAGTTTAGAGGTAAAAGTCAAAACCTTCATGATTTTAGTATTTGACTGTTCCAAATTAAATAAATGAGTGACAGCATGGCCGAGTGGTTAACGCATCATACTAGTAATATAAGGATTTCTAGCTACTTGGGTTTAAATCCTGTAATTCTTCATTAATTATATTTATTAATTTAATCAAGTTTTTTTTCATCAAGTACCAGTTTGTACAAATGGATCACAAATATAGCCTGAAAGATTCAGTAGATATTTTGTTAATGACAGTTTTATTGCTTAATTTTTCTGATACTGATAATTCGTAACTGAATAAGTTATCAAAAGAAAAGGTTTTAGTGTTGTAGATTTTAAGTTGATGAATAAAGTTATGCAATATAAATTTCCAACGACCCCTCTTGAGTGAAAAGAAAGTTTTAATTAGGTGGTGCTAGGGGTATCAAAATATACTCAAATGTGGAGATAGATTATTGGTATTTTTGCCATCCAGATTATTGGTATTTTTGCAATCCTCCATATTTCAATTTAATTTTATAAAAGTGATTTTTGTTTTTTTGCAATGTTCATAAAATTTTGCTATCGATTTTTCTATTAATTTATTTTGAATGTTGTGTATGTTGTACATAGATACTATTTTTTTAAAAAAAAAAAGGTCAATCACTGATTTATTTTAAAGACATCACACAAACAACTTTTGGGACACAACCAGATTTTCCTCATTCTACAACAGTACTTGTTTGTCCAGGAAGTAGATTTACAAAAAAAAGATAGCTCTCATTATCATGAAAGAGATATGAGTAGGCTAAGGCCAAAAAATAAGTCCCATGTCCCCACCTAATCATTTTTTTTAACAGCAAACCCTAGAATTTTTGCCTATCAGGTCAGGTAATATAAACTTTCAACCATTTATTCTGGGCCATATAATCTGTCAAAGTTTTATTATATTCCATATAACCTGTCAAAGATTTGTTCTAGGTCATGTAACCTGTAAAAGAGTTATTCAAGGTCATATATCCTGTCAAAAGATTTATTTTAGATCAAATCCTATCAAAGATTTATTTTAGGTAATATATACTGCCAAAGAATTATTCTAAGTTGTATAACCTGTCAATTATCTATTGTCTGCAATATAAACTGTCAAAATTTATTCTAGGTCATATATCCTGCCAAAGATTTATTCCAGGTCATATAACCTGTCAAATATTTATTGTAGGTCATGTAACCTGTCAAAGATTTATTCTATACAATGTAACCTGCACTATGTATTCTATGCAATGTAACCTGCAGGATTAATTCCAGGTCATATATCCTGTCAAAGATTTATTCTATGCCATATAACCTGTCAAAGATTTATTATATACCATATAACCTGTCAAAGATTTATTCTAGGCCATATAACCTGTCAAATATTTATTCTAGGCCATATAACCTGTCAAAGATTTATTCTAGGCCATGTAAAATGTCAAAAGATTTTCCAGGTCATACTGTATTATTTGTCAAAGATTTATTTTAGGCCATGTTACCTGTCAAAGTTTTAGTAAAGGTCATATAACCTTATAAAGATTTATTCTTTGTGAATTTAACCTGTCAAAAATATTTGTAACTAGTGATATAAAAGAAATATAAGAAAGGAATTCCTACCTATATGTTTATCATACCTACCTACCTTCTATTATTTTTTCTGCCTGCAGACAAAAAAACAAATTTTATTTTTTTGGCCTTAAAACAGGAAATCAGACAGATAAAACACATTTGGTTTTAAAGCTTGTATATTTTTTATTATTCATCAGGTGTCAGAGAAGGAACAAGGAAAATACAAGGAGTTTATCAAGATCAACAAATATTGTTCCGGGCAGTATGACAAAACGTCCGATTTTGGACGTCTCGATAAAATGATTGCCGATATAGGCAACTGTAACAGACTGTTTTATCTAGCCCTGCCACCATCAGTTTATGAATCTGTAACCTTGAATATAAAAGCTGTATGTATGTCTAAAAGGTAATCAAGGCTATTTTACGTATAAATTTTTGAAATTTTTTTTTCGGTTAATGAAATGAAAGGTTTCGGAGTAAGATGGCATCTGACATGTGAAACATATATTTTTTTATGAAAGTTTATTGTAAGTATGTCTTGATTATGCATTCATGTCTAGATAAGAAAAAGCACTCTGAATTCATATTTTATCAATTTATCTTAAGTTTGAATTTATGATTATATTTTTATTAAAAGCAGTTTTGTGAAATAGATAAATACAATTAGAAGAAAAAAAAGTCTGCTTATGCATACTTGCTTTGGCATTGGAGTTTTACAATAAAACAAACACAGTTTGAATTATAAAAAATGAGTGGTGAGATGAAAATGAAATGTTTGTCACTGATAGAACCCAATATTTCATTAGTAAGTATAAAGTGTAAAGGAACTTTATAAATCAATAGGAATAGCTTACAAAAAGTTATGAAATTTCACATGTATGAGCTCCGACACAGATAAAATACTGTGCAAAATTTTATAAATGCTTTATTTTGTCAAATTTGTAAAATTCTCACATATATATGTAATTTACTTTGTAGTGATAAATGGACAAGAGTGATCATAGAAAAACCATTCGGCCGTGACCTTGACACCTCAGAACATTTGTCCAATCATCTGTCATCATTGTTCCGTGAGGAGGAAATCTACAGAATTGACCACTACCTCGGCAAAGAAATGGTCCAAAATCTCATGGTTTTAAGGTACATTATGTATTATTTTATGTAATAATACACATTTGAAATGCATAGTTTTTGGAGTTATTTTTATCAAAGGAAGAAAAATTTATATTTAAGTGATGGCTTTAATCTTAAGCTACCTTGGTCATGAATATATCATGATATAAGCGCTGGTTAGCTTCAGGAAGCAGATTTAAGAGCTGTTAAATAAGCTTTCATTACATTTAAACCCCAACTTCAAAGGTAGAACACATATATATATCATTTGTTATTCAAGACCACCATTGATTTTTAGCTCGACTTTTTTTTTTGAAAAAGAAATAGAGGTATTGCTACAGTCAGGTCGGCGTTGCCGTTGCCGTTGCCGTCCGAAAACTTGTACCTGGATCATAACTTTTTTATTTCTTTGTGTATTGTCTTCATACTTGGCCACATCAACCCTTGGGACAAGACCTTTCAGTAGACAACACTAACCTTGACCTTCATCCATAAATGACCTTGACCTTCAAGGTTAAAAGTCCAATTTTTGCTTGTTCATGCTGTTATTGGCTGTAACTTTGTTATTTTTGAATGGATTGTCTTCAAACTTGAACATAATAATCTTTAAGGATATCCCTTAAAAATAACCAGCCAGACCTTGACTTCACTCATAAATGACCTTAACTTTGAAGGTCAAATTATTGAAATTTTCATTTTTTTGGCTTTTATTGGCTGTAAGTTAGTTATTTTGAATGGATTGTCCTGAAACTTGAACATAATAATCTTCAAAGATTACTGTTAAAGATATACCGAAAGACCTTGACCTTCACACATTAATGACTTTGTCTTTGAAGGTCAAATTAGTGAAATTTTCATTGTTTTGGCGGTCACTGACTGTAACTTTGCTATTATTGAAGGGATCAACTTCATATTATAAGAGAACATTCTTAAGGACCAGACCTTGTTGTTTATCAAACCCAACTTTGCTTGGGCTCTTAAATGACCTTGACCTTGAAGGTTAAATTACTGAATTTTCTCAGATTTGTGCATTACATGACCATATTTAAATATTTATTGGTGTGTGTGTGTCTATATATATATATATTTACAACAACAACAACAATAACTAAAATTGTGTCATTGTTTCTATTTATAGAATTGCGTCATTGTTTCTATTTATAGAATTGCGTCATTGTTTCTATTTAGAGAAATTGGGTCATTGTTTTTTTTTTTTTATAGAAATGCGTCATTGTTTCTATTTTTAGAGATTGCATCATTTTTTCTATTTTTAGAAATTGCGTCATAATTTCTATTTTTAGAAATTGCATCATTTTTTCTATTTTTAGATATTGCGTCATAATTTCTATTTTTAGTATTTTTAGAGATTGCATCATTTTTTCTATTTTTAGAAATTGTGTCATAATTTCTATTTTTAGAAATTGCGTCATTGTTGCTATTTATAGAAATTGCGTCATTGTTTCTAATTTTAAAGATTGTGTCATTTTTTCTATTTTTAGAAATTGCGTCATAATTTCTATTTTTAGAAATTGCGTCATTGGTGCTATTTTTAGATATTGCGTCATTTTTTCTATTTTTAGAAATTGCGTCATAATTTCTATTTTTAGTATTTTTAGAGATTGCATCATTTTTTCTATTTTTAGAAATTGTGTCATAATTTCTATTTTTAGAAATTGCATCATTGGTGTTATTTTTAGAAATTGCGTCATTGTTGCTATTTTTAGAAAATGCGTCATTGTTTCTAATTTTAGAGATTGTGTCATTTTTTCTATTTTTAGAAATTGCGTCATAATTTCTATTTTTAGAAATTGCGTCATTTTTTCTATTTTTAGAAATTGCGTCATAATTTCTATTTTTAGAAATTGCATCATTGGTGCTATTTTTAGAAATTACGTCATTGTTGCTATTTTTAGAAAATGCGTCAGTGTTTCTAATTTAAGAGATTGTGTCATTTTTTCTATTTTTAGAAATTGCGTCATAATTTCTATTTTTAGAAATTGCGTCATAATTTCTGTTTTTAGAAATTGCGTCATTTTTTCTATTTTTAGAAATTGCGTCATTTTTTCTATTTTTAGAAATTGTGTCATAATTTCTGTTTTTAGAAATTGCATCATTGGTGCTATGTTTAGAAATTGTGTCATTGTTGCTATTTTTAGAAAATGCGTCATTGTATCTAATTTTAGAGATTGTGTCATTTTTTCTAAATTTAGAAATTGCGTCATAATTTCTTTTTTTTAGATATTGCGTCATAATTTCTATTTTTAGAATTTGCGTCATTGGTGCTATTTTTAGAAATTGCGTCATTTTTTCTATTTTTAGAAATTGCGTCAATTTCTATTTTTAGAAATTGAGTCATAATTTCTATTTTTAGAAATTGCGTCATTTTTTCTATTTTTAGAAATTGTGTCATAATTTCTGTTTTTAGAAATTGCATCATTGGTGCTATGTTTAGAAATTGTGTCATTGTTGCTATTTTTAGAAAATGCGTCATTGTATCTAATTTTAGAGATTGTGTCATTTTTTCTATATTTAGAAATTGCGTCATAATTTCTATTTTTAGATATTGCGTCATAATTTCTATTTTTAGAAATTGCGTCATTGGTGCTATTTTTAGAAATTGCGTCATTTTTTCTATTTTTAGAAATTGCGTCATAATTTCTATTTTTAGAAATTGCGTCATAATTTCTATTTTTAGAAATTGCGTCATTGGTGCTATTTTTAGAAATTGCATCACTTTTTTATTTTTAGAAATTATGTCATTTTTTTTATTTTTAGAAATTGCGTCATTTTTTCTATATTAAGAAATTGCGTCATGTTGCTATTTTAAGAAATTGCGTACTGTTGCTATTTTTAGAAATATGCATAATGTTTCTATTCATATATATACAAAATATATAAAGAAAACTAATGTGACAAGACAGACCAACTAAATTTATAAAAAGGAAACGTTAATATATGCTCAAACCTTTCTATGTTTGCGTTTAGAAAAAGTAAAAAGTCGAGCGTTGCCCCCGCCCGGCGGTGGCTCTTGTTCTTGTTTGAATTAAAGAGAGTGATTTTACCTATTTTTTAGTGTCTGTTTATCAACAATTTTAACTTTTTTCAAAACAGACTGGTCTTTACTTGTAGGTTTGACTGTGTATTTAAATTTGTATTTGATATATTTCAGATTTGGGAACCGAATTTTCAGCCCTATATGGAATAGAGATAGTATTGCATCAGTTGTAATCAGTTTTAAGGAGCCATTTGGAACACAAGGCAGGGGAGGTTACTTTGATGACTTTGGTATAATCAGGTAAGCTTTTATTAACTCCCCTATTTTAAGACTTAATTGATATTGTATAATCATGATGTTAAGGCTACTTTGTATTGCAGAGTTTAAGACTGAGAATTAAGTTCCTTTTTCATAGTCAAATGTTGGAAAAGAATGTAAAACTTCAGCTCGGACATGAGATCAGTCCCAGCCTTCGGCAAATACTGCAATGGAAGATAATGACATAGCTGTGCTTAGGATATGCTGCAAAACTTAGCAGTCTAAGAATACTCTACTGTATGGTTCTTGGCTTGAACCCCTGAAAATATCAAATAAGCATGTCGTGATTTAAAGCAGGCCTAGTCTATTGCTATAACTCAGAGGGTGAAGGTTATATAATAATGTTTTAAATGTTTTCTATTAAGAATAAATAACGTACATGTATGTTATTCAAAGTTCCATTATTTTGTCCTTCTTGAAAGGCACATTATCAGAAATCAATATTTTTTTTTAGTCTTTAGAAATGTCAAACATGTGTTTAATAACGTTTGAATATTGATTTAGAGCATGTTAGATGTTTCACAACTGAAGAAAGTAGCACTGAACATGCAGTATGTGTCATATCAGTAGCAAAATGTAAACTAAGTAGTATTTTAACTTACATACAAAATACTAAAATACTATAACTGTACTAATTTCCAAAAAGCAACAACAAAAATTTGGTTCAGGTACTTGGCCGATGAATAACATTATTGAAACTATTAAAGTACACAAAAAATAAAAACTTTTGAGAAATAAAAATAAAAGCATTTCTGAGGCATAATGGGCCTTTAAACAACAGCTATTTTCTATGTTAATTTCTGCTTTATTTTAGAGATGTAATGCAGAATCATCTGCTACAACTGATGACCTTGGTTGCCATGGAGAAACCACCTACTACCGGAGCAGAAGATATAAGAAATGAAAAGGTACATGTCAGTGCTGATACACTTTTGCAGCTTGTAAATTAAGAAAATGTGCAGTAGTAGTGCACTCATATTTATAACACAGATACTTGGGGATTCTGACCCTATCCACTGGCTTGATTTGCCCCTGTAAACAGTTAGTCAATAAAAAACTCTAAACAAAACTCTAAACACAATTGGGCATCTGTCTTAATCACTAAAATTGTTCTCAAACCATTTACAATTTTTAGCTCACCTGAGAAATGCTCATGGTATGCTATTGTGATGGCCCCTCGTGTGTCGTCGTGCATCGTCAACTTTTGAACATGAACAACATCTCCTCTGAAACCAATGACTGCACATCAACCAAACTTTACAGAAATGATCCTTGGGTGGTCCCCTTTCAAAGTTGTTCAAATGGTTCCGGTCTGTTGCATATGTAGGTCATAGGGCTAGAAAAGGATTTCAAAAAACACAAAATTAAAAAATCTTCTTGTCTGAAAGTACATGGGCCAGAGCTTTGATTTTTGGTATATGGTATCATCTACGGGTCCTCTACCAAAGTTGTTCAAATTTTGTCCCTAGGGTCAAAATTGGCCCCGCCCGGGGGGTCATAGGGTTTTCCTTATATGTATATAGTAAAATCTAAAAAAATCTTTTTCTCTGATTTGGCAAAGGCTACAGATTAGTGATTGGCATGAAACGTTGTGTAGTAGACCTCTATCAAGATTGTTCAAATAATGGCCCTAGGGTCAAAATTGGCCCCGCCCCTGAGGGTCATTGATTTTCATTACATACGTATAGTGAAAACTTGAAAAATCTTCTGGTCTGAAAGTAAATGGCCTAGAGCTTTGATATTTGGTCTATGGTATCATCTGAAGGTCCAATACCAAAGTTGCACAAATTTTCCTTAGTGTCAAAATTGGCCCCTCCCCCGGGGGGTCATAGGTTTTTTTAATACATGTATAGTAAAACATAAAAAATCTTCTTCTCTGAATTGGCAAAGGCTACTGGTAAGATATTTGGCATGAAACATTGTGCGGTAGACCTCTACCAAGATTGTTAGTCCCCTACTGGTTTACCGGAGGGGACTTTAGGTTAACCCTCCGTCCGACTGTCTGTCCGTCCGTCTGTCCGAGCAAACATTTGATATTTATGAGCTTCATTCCGCAGTTAAATAAAGAACAAAAGCTCATAAAATTCAAATTAAGAGCTATTTTTTTTATTTTATGAGCTGATTTTGCTTATGGACTTTGGTCCAGGTGTAGTTTATGAGCTGACTTACCTCTTAAATATCAAAAGTTGGTATGTCTGTCCGTCCACAAAACTGGATCCCGCGATAACGCAAAAAGTACTGAAAATATTTTAATGAAACTTGATATATGGATAGATTGCAGTATGGAGATTATGCACGTCTTTTTCTTTTCTTCCTATGTTGAAAATTCTGGTTGCTATGGCAACAAATAGACTGAAAATATGGCAAATTTTACACATAACCTGGATCCCACGATAACGCAAAAAGTACTGAAAATATTTTTATGAAACTTGATATATAGATAGATGGCAGTATGAAGATTATGCACATCTTTTTCTTTTCTTCCTATGTTGAAAATTCTGGTTGCTATGGCAACAAATAGACTGAATATATGGCAAATTTTACACATAACCTGGATCCAGTGATAACACAAAAAGTACTGAAAATATGTTTATGAGACTTGACATATGGGTAGATGGCAGTATGGAAATTATGCACATCCTTTTCTTATCTTTCTATGTTGAAAATTCTGGTTGCTATGGCAACAAATAGAGTTAGACTGAATTTCAAGATTTCTGATTCTAGTTTTTAAGTTTTTTCACTATAAGTTCTTTATTTCTTAAGGTATTTTCTTCAAACTTTAAATATAAGTTGCTTGTCATCAACCACATCATATGTGACAAGGTTAACAACTCTAGCACAAAATTTATCAGAATTACCTCCCTTGAACTTAAAATTTTCATGAAAAAAACATTGTTTTTTTTTTTTAATAACTTCTTTTTCTGAATGTATCTACTTCAAACTTCATATAAATGTCTCTTATTATCACTCAACATTTGTGAGTGTTCAATAATCTAGCAAGACTATTTCCAGAATTATGCCCCTTTTGAACTTAGACTTTTTTTTGAGAAATTTGTAATTTTTACTCCAACTTCTTCAATCATGATAGGATTTTTAAAATGTTATATTTTGATAACAGGGATGTTTAAAAAATAACTTAAGAGTGTCCTTCAGTCCGTCTGTCTGTACATAAAAACTGTTTCCTGTGATCACTTTTAAAGAACTTTTTCAACAAATTTACTTAAAATAGGAACATAAGTGAATGGCCAATGGCCCTTCAGAATGTTGCTTGGGCTCTTACCGGTAGGGGACTTATGGATTGCTTGCAATACTATGATAATTGCTTGTTCAAATAATGGCCCTCGGGTCAAAATTGGCCCCGCCCTCGGGGGTCATTGATTTTCATTATATACATATAGTGAAAACTTGAAAAATCTTCTGGTCTGAAAGTAAATGGCCTAGAGCTTTGATATTTGGTCTATGGTATCATCTATAGGTCCAAAACCAAAGTTGTTCAAATTTTGTTCCTAGAAATAAAATCGGCCACCCCCTTGGGGGTCGTAGGTTTTTCCTTATATGTATATTGTAAAACCTAAAAAAATCTACTTCTCTTCAAATAATGGCCCTCGGGTCAAAATTGGCCCTGCCCCGGGGGGGGGGGGGGGGGGGGTCATTTATTTTCATTATATACATATAGTGAAAACTTGAAAAATCTTCTGGTCTGAAAGTAAATGGCCTAGAGCTTTGATATTTGGTATATTGTATTATCTGAAGGTCCAATACCAAAGTTGATCAAATTTTGTCCCTAGTATCAAACTTGGCCCCGCCCTGGGGGGTCATAGGTTTTTACTTATATGTACATAGTAAAACATAAAAAAATCTTCTTCTCTGAATTGGCAAAGGCTACAGGTTAGATATTTGGCTTGAAACATTGTGTGGTAGACCGCTACCAAGATTGTTCAAATACTGGCCCTGGGGTCAAAATTGGCCCTGCCCCAAGGGGTCATTGATTTTTCCTTTATGCATATAGTAAAAACTTAAAAATCTTCTTTTAAAAAACCCAAAGAGCTAGAGCTAAGATATTTAGCATGAAACATTTTCTAATGGATGTGTACCAAGTTTGTTCAAATAAGAGCCCTGGGGTCAAAATTAGCCCCGCCCCAGGGGGTCATTGATTTTCCCTATATGAATATAGTAAAAACTTAAAAATCCTCTTTTAAAGAACCCAAAGAGCTAGAGCTAAGATATTTAGCATCAAATATGTTCTAATGGATGTCTACCAAGTATGTTCAAATAAGAGCCCTAGGGTCAAAATAGGCCCCGCCTGGGGGACATTGATTTTCCATATATGTGTTTAGCAAAAATTTTAAAATCTTCTTCTAAAAAACCCCAATAGCTAGAGTTTAGATAATAAGCATAAAACATCTTCTAGTAAGTGTCTACAAAGATTGTTCAAATAAAAGCCCTGGGGTCAAAACTGGCCCTGCCCCAGGGGTGTCATTATTTTTAAATATATGTGTAAGTAAAAAACTGAAAAAATCTTCTTTTAAAAAGTTAAACCCAACGAGCTAGACCTTTGATGTTTAGCATGAAACATCTTCTAATGGGTGTCTACCAAGTTTGTTCATATAAAAGTCCTGGGATTTAAACTGGCCTCTGCTCCGGGGGACCTATATACAGGTGAGCTACTTCAGGGCCATTATGGCACTCTTGTTTATTGATCATTGACAGGGGCAGTTCAACCTAAGGGATATAGAGTCTCACTCCAAAGTGCTTGTGATTTATAATGGACTGGAGATTTTTTAGCTCACCTGTCACAAAGTGACAGGGTGAGCTTTTGTGATCGCTTTTCGTCCGGCATCTGTCCAGCGTCAGTCCGTAAACTTTTACTTTAAATGACATCTCCTCATAAACCACTAAGCCAATTTCATCCAAACTTCACAGGAATGTTCCTTTGGTGGTCACCTGTAAAGTTGTTCAAAGAATTTAATTCCATGCAGAACTCTGGTTGCAATGGCAACTGAAAGTAAAAACTTTAAATATCTTCTTTAAAAAAAACCAAAGAGCTAGAGCTTAGATATTTGGCATGAAACATTTTCTAGTGAATGTCTACCAAGTTTGTTCAAATAAAATCCCTGGGGTCAAAATTGGCCCTGCCCAAGGGGGTCATTGATTTTCCCCTTTATGCATATAGTGAAAACTTAAAAAATCCTCTTTTAAAGATTCCAAAGAGCTAGAGCTAAGATATGAAGCATGAAACATCTTCTAATGGGTGTCTACCAAGTTTGTTCAAATAAAAGCCCTAGGGTCAAGCCCAAGCCCAAGGGGGTCATTGATTTTCCCTATATGCATATAGTAAAAACTTAAAAAATCTTCTTTTAAAGATTCCAAAGAGCTAGAGCTCAGATATTTTGCATGAATTATCTTCTAATGGGTGTTTACCAAGTTTGTTCAAATAATAGCCCTGGGGTCAAAATTGGCCCCGCCCTGGGGGTCATTGATTTTCCTTATACAGTCGGCATCGTACTTGTGTCCACCTTTATTGAGCGACTTTTTTATTAAGCTGCCGCATAAAATCCCTCCCGATGATTTTTACTATATAAGTTAATTCTATTTAACGACGATTTTATATCGCGGCCAGCGGCCACTAAATGTCCGCCCAAATGTACAAAATTCAGTGTTAAAGTATCTATTAAACGGCCGTGACAAACAATCGTCCCTACGGACATTTTGACCTGTGTAATTAGCGAGTAGGTTTGAACAAACAAATATTTTTCATGGTCATTGGTCTTAAAGTATTTATTAAACGGCCGTCAATTAGACCGTCACAAATAATTGTCGTTTAAAAACGAAATTCATAACAATTGCAATCGTTTCAAAATCGGAAAGAAAGAAACAGTTTTCCGATAGTAATATTTATTGTGACATATTTTGTCAGAGCAATAACGTATCGCAACACCGCATTGGCACAGTTTTGTTATGTGCTCAGAGTGACCTCCCTTCCAGAAAATCATCAAAAATGACGTCGGAACGAGGAGGAAATCGTGCATGGAATTGAGTCTGAGTAAAGAGCAAATGCCATCGTTTGTAGTAATAATAAAATCGTGAAACGTAGTGGACTAAACATTACAGCCTTTCATTGCTGATGGTGTAGATCTAGGTGCTCATCTGATGCTTTATAAAATACATGTAGTACCCAATAATTATGACCCTTCGACAAAAAAGAATAAATAAAAAAATATATAATGAAAATCTAAGATCTCTCAAACTTTAATGTTTTGAAATCGGGGTAGTGTGAAAACTTATTGCTGAAAAAATCAAGAACTTTCAAACTCATTGCATGAAAAATTATCTAGAGGTCTGGCTGATGATTTGAAAGTATGTTCAGCAGGAGATGTTTATAGATGTGTATGACCATATTAATAATATATGACAATATGCTTTGTTTCAAGGTCAGAATGACTTGTTAATAGTATTATGAGCTTAGATCACATTTGTACACAAATATCTACTAAAAAAACAAACACATATTGATGACTTTTTCAAACAAAAGGCATAAATGTAATTATGAAACTGTAATACATAATGATTATATAATATTGTACAGTTTTTGTTTTTATAAAAAGATGTTATTATATCTATGACTTGTAATATAAAAAAGTCTCGAATTTTCCAGAATTCTATTGAGAGACCACTTTATTAAGAGACCACTTTTTGGCAGTCCCTTGAGTGGTCTCTTAATACAATGTCGACTGTATGTGTATAGCAAAAACTTAAAAAATCCTCTTTGAAAAAACCCAAATAGCTAGAGTTTAGATATTAAGCATGAAAGATCTCCTAGTGAGTGTCTACAAAGTTTGTTCAAATAAAAGCCCTGGGGTCAAAATTGGCCCCGCCCAGGGGGACATTGATTTTCTGTATATGTGTATAGCAGAACTTAAAAATCTTCTTTGAAAAAACCCAAATAGCTAGATTTTAGATATTAAGCTTAAAACATCTTATAGTAAGTGTCTACAAAGTTTGTTCAAATAAAAGCCCTTGGGTCAAAACTGGCCCCGGCCCAGGGGTGTCATTGTTTTTAACTATATGTGGATAGTAAAAACTTTTTAAAAAAATCTTCTTTTGAAAAACCCAATGAGCTAGAGCTTAGATGTTTAGCATGAAACATCTTCTAATGGGTGTTTACCAAGTTTGTTCAAATAAAAGCCCTTGGGTTAAAATTGGCCCTGGGGGGGGGGGGTCATTGTTTTTCATTATAAATTATGTGTGTAGTAAAAACTTAACATCTTCTTTTAAAAAACTCATAGACCTAGAGCTTAGATATTTAGCATTAACATCTGCTAATGGGTGTCTTCCAAGTTTGTTCAAATAAAAGCCTTGGGGTTTAACTGGCCCCGCTCCTGGGGCCTATATACATGTGAGCGACTTCAGGGCCATCATGGCCCTCTTGTTAGATTTTTCTATCAATCATATGAGTAAATGCAATATATTTGTTGTATGTGTTTCATTTTCTAACAAAATACATGTTTCCGTATAGATTGAAAGCTCAGCAAGCAATGACAATGTATATAACAGGGAGAGACATTTATTAAATTCAATACATCAATTAAATTTTTACACATACATGTACATAATTGAAAAACTCGGTAATTTTGAAAATGTTGAATAAAAAATCTTGTGACTTAAATTATAGAAGCTATGTATACGAAAAAAAAGAGAAACACCAAAACTTTCATCCCATACTTACTGTTTTAAGAAATTTCCACTCTGTGAAGTCAAGTTGTTCTTGTGTTTTGTTTCAGGTCAAGGTGTTGAAGAGTGTACCACCAATCACTATTGATAACGTAGTACTAGGACAATATGTGGGTAACCCTGACGGGAAAGGTGATGAGAAGCAAGGGTACCTAGATGATCCAACAGTCCCTGCAGGTATACCTCAGATGACATTGTTAAATGTTTAGATTAACCTAAAGTTATTTATGCTAGCTGGATTATAAAGGAAGCTCTCAGTCTATGTTGAAACACTGTTAGTCTGATTCCAAGTAAAGCTGAATTCATTATCCATGATCAAGTGATTTAGATGGTTCACTTCAAGTCAATTGCCCTTATTGTTGTGTGTTTTAATCCTAACAAGGATTTTTAATCCTATTACACGAGGAAGCTAGTCAGTTAATTTAAGGAACATCTGATTACAAGAAAAAAAACTTACTCCATTGTGCACCTTATGTTTTTAATTGAATTTATTTTTTCATTAAACAGGTTCAGTGACGCCAACATTTGTAACAGCAGCATTATTTGTACGCAATGAGAGATGGGACGGTGTTCCATTTATACTTAGATGTGGAAAAGGTAAGGATTTTATTACACTCTCTGAAACTTTTACAAGAAACATGCAATTTTTACAAGTTTTCAAACTAAGTTAAGCCTTACCATTTGGAGCTGAAATTGATTAGCCTTTGCCAGAGGTATAAGAGCCATACATGCAGTCTGACCAAACTCTACACTGTTGGGGAACTAATTTTAATTTTTCATATTTATATGCCCAAAATTGATAATGATATAGTTCCAAAAATTGAAGCTTGACTAGTCTATACATGAAATTCAGCACGTAAAGGGTAAAGATTTAGTCAAAGGTCCTTACTCATCCATTTTAATGCTGATGGCAAAAAATACATTTACATGTCACCATTATACAGTCCAACCAGCCTACACATACATGCAGTCTAACTACTAGTAATTCCTATATTACTGATGGTTGCACAAGTTTAGCTATTGGATATGTATTGAAATAACAACAGATAGTTCCTAATTCAATGCAGGACAAGTCCAACATACAAATTTAGCTGTGTAAGTTAAATGTGATGTAAACTGTTTGATTCTTATATTGCAGTATGAACAAATATATTCTTACTCCATATTCTTGATAATATTGTTCATAAAAAAGAATAAATACTAAAAAAACTTGTAAAAAGGAAGTTGGTTTTCAGTAAATTGTAACAATTAACTTTATCACTCTCATTTATGTAGCAGTGGCAATGAATTGTTGTTCTTAAAGAAAAAAAACACAAAATAACGGCTGATTAGATTAAGGGCAAAATTTGATTCAACAAATATTAATGAGTAGTAGTATATAACATTGTGAAATCCTCTTTACAGCATTAAATGAACGCAAGGCAGAGGTGCGTGTACAGTTCAAGGAAGTACCAGGCGATATATTCAGTGAAGGGAAGGTTAAACGTAATGAACTTGTTATTCGGGTACAGCCCAATGAGGCTGTCTACATGAAGATGATGACTAAGAGCCCGGGTATGAGTTTTGACTGTGAGGAGACCGAGTTAGATCTCACATACGGTAGTAGATATAAGGTATGATTAGTTGTTTTTGACTCCTTTTGTTCGCTTGCTTAGCACAATGGGTGGCCATAGGACTTTTAGTCACTGGTTTGATACTTGGGCTAGGCAAAATTTCTCCATGAAAATCAATTTAAAGAGCATTTGATTGTCACCACTGAGTCAGAAATCATGTAGGATTAGTAGTTGTACACTTGCGGGGAAATTTGTAATTACTGGTTAGTTATCAAGTCAGACACTTGTGGGGCAATTAATTGCTGGTTAGTTATCCCGAAAATCTGGTTAGGTGGACCAACCACTGAGATATGACTAATAACATGAGTTAAATCTGCCATAAAAAAAACAACAAACAAACAACCCAAAAAAAATTGCACATTATCTTTGGAACAGTGAAATTTATAGACAAAAGTTTGTCTCCGGTCGGCTTATTTTTATCATCTGAAAATAAAGTGAATGATTTCTGAATTCTTTCAATTTTCTACTCATTTTGCCAAATTTTTTCAATTTTTCATGGCAAAAAAAAGAAATTACATAAAATCTATGGTTAAATGACACAAATGAGCCACGGTAGTTTGTTCATGTTTTAAATGTTACAAGTTTAAACCTTGTAGCGCTGTATTTTACAGGGAGTTAAGATGCCTGAAGCTTATGAGCGCCTTATTCTAGATGTATTCACCGGATCTCAAATCAACTTTGTACGCTCTGACGAGTTATACCAGGCTTGGAGAATCTTTACACCACTTTTACACAAGATTGAAAGCGAGAAGCCGAAACCCATCCCGTACAAATATGGAAGGTAACAGCTGCTTTGTTTGAATATTGTAGTGTCAAACACATGTAGTGGTTTTAAGTGTGTATCTTTCCAAGCATGGCAAATAAACGCGTTTTAGTTAAGACATGGCTTAGTTTGATTATTAACTGCCCATCCGTCTTGTCCTATATAATTGCCCAAAATTAAAACCTCATTCTTTGCCTGTGTGCATGATTTTTCTTTCCCTGTGAATTATGTACATCATTAATTCTGTATTCAGTACATAAGGAAATCCATAGTTTCCATTAAGGTATTGAATTTATAAAAAATATATATAAGTTTTCATTTTCAAGACTTAAAGTTTGAAGCAATTTTGATTGGTATATCTTGAAAATAAAAACTCTTCCATATAAATAAAAAATTTGCATTAATTAACTTATAAGTAAGCTGGTTCAGTCTCAAAAAATCAGTTATTGCTCTTTTTCTTTTATGATAAACACATTATTTCCCTTCTTATTTTATGATAAACACATTATTCCCCTTCTTATTTTATGATAAACACATTA